GTAATTAGTATAGCTTGTTTCTAGTTTAAAATACTTAGTTACTATAAGTATTTAAAAAGCTATTTTTCACTAATTGATTCTAGAGTGGTATCCAGTTCCAGGATTTTCCAACCTAGTCCTGGATTCCTGTCCCAATTCCCATCTTGAAGATGAGATTAGGTTAAAGCTCAGCTCAATGGAATAGAACTAGGTTGTTTAACAGCATATTGAGATGGTTTCATGAGAGCTGGAATCAGAATGAGATTGGAACTGAGATTAAAATCTAGTTAGTAGAACAGATCCAGGACCTGACTATGATAAAATAAAATAGGATCAGGATTTCAATATTATATATGAGATAGGACCAGTAAAGTGTAGAATAGAACTGAAAATCCCAGTCCTATTTGTGTTGTCAAAAGATAACAAAATTTGGTAATGATTCTAACATAATTTTATCAATTTATTTAACTTTGAAAAAGTAACAAAATTTGGTAATGCTCTTTGTATAATTAAATTATATTGCAAGCTATTAGACTTTAGCTACTTGAGTCTATCTATTAATAACATTAATGTATTTTCTGTTTCTTATCTGAATTAAGAAGTAGATTTAGCAGACTTGCAATCTCTTTCTGTATAATCTCTGAAGTATTTTAATTATCTTGATTATCTTGAATAATTTTCTTGGCTAATTTCTTATGTGATATAAGTACTTTATTCAGTATATACATCTTGTCTCCATGTTTAAGCAGTATAATCTTCTTGATTGTAGATGTATGAAGCCATGATTATTAATAATAATATGTATTCTAAGTAATATTAAAAATTCACTTTACTCCAATCTCTGTTAAAGATATAGCCAGAATGTTTCTTATTATTCAAGCAACAGTTAAAAAATCAGACTCTAGCATTCTTCACTGTTTCAGAATTGGAGCTCAAGATAATATCAAATTTTTATTATTTAAATATTACTCTATTTCATTTTGAAAATTTACTTGTCTTTAATAAAATCTCACAAAAATGATTTACTCAATATTCTAAAGAAGTTAGCAAAGAGAAAATCAGAATAATACTTATAATAAATATACATCATTTACATTAAGTATTACTTTTCTTGACTGTTCATATTTCTTATAATATTTTTTGTAAAATTTCAAAATATATTGTCAGTATGTTTTATACTTGTTACTAGTCTAATTCTCTGAATTATATACTCTTATGCAGTATAATAAATGAAGAGCAGCAGCTACAGCTAGCAGCTCACTTTTTAAATACTTAGTATCACTATAGTATTTCTGAAATTTTAAGTTGGCAGCTTTAATAGCTTCTTTAATATTTTTTCTTATTATTAACTGTTGGGTCTTGTTCTTCTCTCTTTCTAAATACTGGAAAAGATAATTGTGGATTATCTATACTAGATAAATTATTAGATCTGTTGTTTTGAACAGTATCTTGATAAACTAACTGAATAACTGCAACAGTCTAATTATATACTCTAGTTGCTTTCAGTTATGGTTTACTAAGTAAAGTCTTTGATATTTTGATAATAAGTTCTGAATTCATGAGTTCACAGCTTGTCAAAGTAATAAGACATGAACATATATCTTATAGATAAAATTTCATCTTGTGCAAATATCTTGAATCATCTTGCACTAGTTCTCTTGTTGATATTCTCAGAAACATATAGTAAGTTAGAAGAAGATATTAGTTATATTAATAACAAGACAAATTTATTATTAAGCAAAGATTAGTAAATCAACTTAAGTATATCAAGATTATTATTAAATTTCATTATCTTTCTAAGAGTATTTGCAAATATATCTGTTGATACTAGATTATTAATAATTGAGCTCTTATTAAAGATAGTTAATAGAGTATTATTATCTGACTGAATCTTGAGGTTGTAAACCAGTACTCAAACTACAAGTTAAATTATATAAGCAAGATAGAGTATTATCTTACTCTCTGTATCTTAATTAGTTGTGTTGTTCAACTGCTGCAATGCTGACCTTAACTAATATATAAGATGTGCTTACATGATACTATTGTTTGATGCATTATCACTTGTAATTACAACAATATTACTCTCAAGATCTATACTGCTAATAATTATTGAAGAATCTCTATTATATTCTTATCAGTATAAGCACTCTCTAAAGTTTCAAAACTTAGTAAATACTTACAGTACTCTTAATTCTTTGTAATATAATAATTATTAATTATTATAAAGACAAGATTATTGGAACTTGTTTAATTATTTACTGTCAGAGATATCTTGATTATTGAATCATGATTAAAGAGAAGATTTCAGAATTGCTAATTATATATATTATTTATAATCTGATATAATATTTCTCATGTGAGTATCTGTAATACTATTGCAGAATTGAATAAGATTATTAATTTGCAGAATACTGGATTCTCAATAACATAAAATAAGAGATTCAAAAATATTAATATTTACACAAGCTGTCAGAGAAAATTATCTTAATTATATTTAGAAATAGACAGATCTGAATCTGTTCAAGAATATTTTGAAAACTATTACTAAGACACCAGAACCATTACTAAAATTTGTTATATTTGAAAAATTAGAATCCATAATCCACCATCATGTTAATCAGAGTATTACTCTGTTTATTATCAGTTTTTGTGCAGTCTTTACTGATTAAATACTTCTTCAGATTACTTGTATTATTTTAAGAAAAGCTTGAATAACTGAGAAAGATTTGACAATACTTGCAAATTACTTCTGAAGTACTTTTAAAATGCTCTGTTATCTGATCAAATTTTGGCCAAAAATTAGAATAATGTTGCTCTGTCTTTCAGTTGAGGTCACCACACTTCTTATTCTTAACTAACTGAGCAGCTTCAGTAGCTAACCATCAAATAACAAATAACTTATAATGCTGCTACTTCTACAATATAAATTGTTTTTTATATTAAACTATGATTAATTCTGAAGAAATCTCTGTAGATTTCACTTATTTGCTAGCTTCAGTTATTAATTAGATTTTTTTTTTTTTTCATAATTAAATTGATTTTTCTCTGAGTTCTGTCTTAGTCAAAGAAGTAACAAAGTTTGGTAATAGTTCAAGCAAAATTTGACAATTTTAGCTAGTTAGACTTATTCTACTCTGCACAGTAATCAACTACAAAATTATTATCATCTACAAAAACATTCTTCTTCAGAAAAATAAAATATTTTGCTAATTTAATAGCACTCTATTCTCAAATTAATGTAAAAAAAGAATTAAAAATCTAAGTTTCTTCTCTAGATATTAATAATTCAATTATCATCTATCTTATTATTCTTCTTATTGTTCTTATTAGAGAACACTATAATTTCAAAATTATCTTTCTTTATCTTCTCTGAAGCAGGTGAACTATTGTTGTCTTTCATCAGATTTTGTAATTAGCTCAGGAATTTTCTCATCTTCTTCTTAATTCTCTCTCTTAATACACCAACCACAGTAAGATAATCATGATTATAAGATATAATCTTGATCTCAAGCTTGACTATTATTTGACAGAACTGAGCCTGCTTACATGCAGTAATAAAATACTGCATCTTGACCTAAATATATCAGAACTATTACTAAATTTTATTACTTTTAAATTCTATCTTCTTATTCTGCCAAGCTTCATTCTCAGTTTCTATAGTCTCTTCTCAGCAATACTTCTTCTTCTTCTCTCTCTTTTTTTACTAAGAGATTATGAGCTGATGCTTATAATACTCTTTTGACTTATTCTTAATAAATTATTTGATTATCAGCTGTTCAATAACTTTATTCTTAATTACCTTGCAATTTTTCTTGCTGCTATTCTGTCTGCAATAAATATTAATATAATTCAACACAAATTATTGAAAGTACATACTACTCATATTTGACTCAGATTCTCTTCAGTATATTATATCTTGCAATCTGTTTCTTCTGTCTTGAATATATTTTTTTAATGATCTTTCAAGATCTGATAGTGCTTTCATATCATACAGATCTTCTCTCTCATTAAATATTATTTTGGCCCTATCTTCACAGTTGTATGCAATGGGTTGAATTAAAGACACTGCATAATAAAATTATAGAGTGTATTAACCAACTACTTATATAAAATAGTTACTATGTATATTGTTTACATTCTACAGACACATTACTATAGACAAGCTCAACATATTGTTACTATTAGCTACAGGATAATAAGATTATAGAGTATATTAATTAAGTACTCGTGTAGAATGATTACTATACATATTATTTACATTCTAGAGCCATATTGCTATAGACAAGCTCAACATATTATTGCTATACTGGCTGCAGAATAATAACATAAGATTAGTCTTTCTTTTTTTCTTTTTCTCTTTCTCTTCTTCTTCTTTTTCTTCAGAACTACTGTTGATAATTCTTCCTCTCTCTAATTATTTACTGTTCTTCAACACTTCTGTACAAGAATCTGTGCTGCAACAAAATAGATTATATTAAGAGATAAGTGCTTGCAGAATACTGCTCTGGCACACATTATTTACTGATAAGGTATTAGTTTTCTTTATGCATATTTATTTTTGCACAGCTGGAGAGAAGTGGCACAAGACCACATTAAAAGAATAAGCTCTAAACTAGAACAATTAGTATAAAGCTAATAAAGATATTAATCTAACTAACTTTAATCAGAAGAATCTCTGCCTCTGTCTCTCTATTTATAATTGAAAGTCCAGGACTTATATATTAAAAATTAACAATTTTTGGTAACAGTCTTGACGCTAATTCATAAAATAGATACTATTAAGAAAATTCACTACTTTCAGAACTCTATTAAGCTAATTCTCTCAGTGACTCTATTTCAGCAATTGATTCAGAAAATTATTTTATTCTGTAACCAAAAACATAAATATCACTAATAACATACTATTATTAAGTTTACTTCAGAAGACTGCTGAAGCAATTTTGTACACTCTGTTTGAGTATAAGTTATTATTAACAATAGCATTAATAATTATACTGAGTAATATAGACTCTGTTATAATAATGACATATTATAAGTATATTATAATCAACACCAACAATCTGAAGCTTATTCTTGACATCAGTGCTATAATCAGATTAAACTATTTCAGTCTAATTAATGTGTCTGATTACTCTGCTTCTGCTATCTCTGTCTCTGCTACTAATACTTGCTATCTGCATGCTGTTTCTGTTCTGTTAACTACTGCTGCTGCTGCTGCTTTATTACTGCCACTGCCTACCATCATCTCTCTGCCTTTCTCTAATGCTGACAGAGTCTCTATCTATCAAATAATCAGTATTAGAGCTTCTGTTTAGTTCCCAAAGCTGGTTCTAAAGGAGCAGAAGGAGAAGAAGAAGAAGAAAAAGAAGAAGAAAAAGAAAGATAAAGAGAATAATAATAATAATAATAATAACAATAATGAACTTGTTATTTACACAGTTTCTCAAAAGATCTACAAGGCTACTAACCATATGCAGAAGCTACAGGAATCACAGAATGTGAACTCAATAGATGTGCGTACTCTCCCTTGTCTTATTCTAAAGGATTGTAGGATGAGAAGTAAGATGAAAACTTTGCATCAGATCAAAAAAGATTCAAGCCGCTAAGCTGGAGGCTAACTACATAGAAACTAGTATCTTGACATAGTTTCTGGTTATTTGCTAGCTTCAGTCATTAATTAGTTTTAATACTTTGTTTTTTTTCACAATTAAATTGATTTTTCTAAGAGTTTCACCTTTATCAAAAAAGTAACAAAATTTGGTAATAGTTTACACAAAATTTGATCAGTTTGACTTTTCTCTATAAATTTAATATAATGAGGCTGGAAAACCTAATCTCATCTCAGTCTCACTATAGATCTAGCTGGGACAAGAAATGGGAGCCTACCTTCTCTGCTGGAATAGGATGTGAAATATAATTTTCTATTTGAGAACAGAACTGGGAAATAATTTATGAGATAGAAATAAGAACAGGATCTCAAGCTCTTGAGTAGAATGAGACATGGGACTGAGATTTCATATTTGGGATCCTAGCTGTTTTTAAATTCAGGATCAGAATGAGCTTCAATAGAAAATAAGATTCTATCCTGGTCCCAAATACTAGCTTAATTGATTCTGATTCCTCAGCTACCAAATAGTATAATGTAATGTATTTCACGGCGAATTCAGACACACAGTAAACTTGGACACTTTTGCACTTTTGCACGTGATATAAAACCTTTTTAAGATAGCTTGCTTAGCTTCACCAAATAGGTTAATAGTCTCAGGCACCATGTAGAGATGCAAGCCATGTCTAGATATCATACACAGGCTCTGTACAACTGGAGTAAATGAAATTACATAATTATTTAAACTTGAAAAAGGAATATTATATAATGTAGCAGCTTTCTGTTGACTCAATTCTTGGTTCTTTACTGTAGAAACAGCTAAAAAATATCTGTTTGTGCTCATTTTTACTGTGAAATAAATATATGATGATGAAAACTAAAAGATTTGATTGATGCTGAAAAATCAGACTATGTATATCACGTGCAAAAGTGTCCAAGTTCACCATGTGTCTGAGTTCACTGTGAAATATGTTATACTATTTAGTAAAGATTACTAAGAATTTGCAGAGATCAATTTAGCTCAGCTATATCAAGAATATCAAGTTGATAGAGGAACTCTAGCTTGCTTGGCACATCTTAACAAAATATAAGTAAGAAAGAATCTTAGCAAGAAAAATCAAAATAAGAGATTGTTCAGTAAGAGATTTTTCAGATAAAAAAAGTGTAATATTATTATACAACAACAAATAAAAAAATATAACATAATCTACAAGCAAGTAAAAACCACAAAAGCAAAAGATATTTTTTTAACTTTCTCAACCATCTACTTTAACGCGTCAGAATACCACTAGTTCACAATAAAAATGCAAGATTCTTTATAGAAATAGAGTGCAAGATTGAAGTTGCTATTTCTACTCTTAAAAAGCAAGAAATTAGCTCAATTGCTGAAGCTTACAGCTATTTAATATGTCTTATACTACCTTATATCATTGAGCGAAAGAAAGATATACAAGAACTAGTCTTCACACAAATTTAATCAAATTAACTAAGCTTGAAGAGAATCAGCTAGTTCAATAAATTCTAGATCTAGCTAAATAAGGAATCTCCTTCAAACTAGCATTTGTTAAGAATATGGCTAATGATCTTCTTGCCACACAAGATTTTATCTTTTTTCCCTCTGTATTAGCAAGAACTGAATGTCAAATCTGATTAAATACTGTATAGAGCTCAAATGTTGCTATTCCAGATGCTATAATTACAAACAAGCAAAATGTGAAAATAGGAAGATTATTCAGCAGCTGAATATTCAACTTCAAATCTCTACTTCTCCAGCTAGCTAACCTAGTAACTCTTAGTTATTCTGGATCCTACAAATATCAAGCAGCCTCTGGTAGTTGCATAGGCAGGTGGATAAGATTAAGAATCTTATGAAGCAGGGGCTTGAGAACTTACTCAGGGCTTAATGAAAGAATTTAACTAAATTATCAAGGTCTGTAAATATAGAATGATCAACATCACTATTATAAAGAAGCAATATCAGGATATATTTGCTGCAAATAAGAAAGAGAAGCAAAAGCATACAGAATGTAAGCACTGAATTCAATATGAAAAAGGTCTAACTAGAGAAAAGATTGCTGAGCTTGCTATTCTACCTACTCAATCTGTTGAATGGTCAGTTACTCAATTCTCTAAGCCTGTAATTTCAGAGTCTGCATCATGTCCACAGGTATCACCAAGGTGTACAAACTACTATATTTTAGGCTATACAAGAAGAAGCTACTGTAGTCCTATTGCAATGTAATTTAATCTATTTAAGGGTTGTTGAGCATAAATATTTCAGGTTAAATTCTAGTTAGTTATGATAGCTTAATTTAATTTTTCACTTGCTTAGGGATTTCACTCGCTTGTAGATTATGTTAATAAGAAAAATTTGGCAGTTTGTTTAGAGAGTATTATTGAGTTTATCTCTCAAAATTCAGAGGAAAAGCCCTTGTAATTGCTGAGTAATAGTGTGAAAAGTGTTTCTGATAGGCAGGTTAAAGCTGGCAGCATGTATTTCTACTTATATCTCAACAACTAGCAGGGAAATTCACTTGAAAATTGAAGAACTTCTTAAGTAAAGAAATAACTTTTAAAGAATTATTTTGTCCAATTTAAACAAGAATTAACTGAGTTATAGAATAAGTGTTATATACCATATTATGATGTTAAGAAATTCAACTATGTCCAATGTTAAATATTCTTCCACTAAAGAAGCAAGAAAGCAAGATATTAGATAAACACAAAAATTAGCCTTTTATTCTAACTCTGATTCTAGAATTATTCAATTTAGTATTAAACACTAAGAAGAAGTTAATAAAATTGTTTAAAAAAACTTAAAAAGGAGCTTAATATATTAGAGACTTGTACACTTTTAAGATAAGTTTAAAGTACTAGTAGATTAAAAAAAGCTGCTCAAAAAAGACCTTTTAATATAAAAAGATAGTAAAAGGCTTCAATAGCTACTTAAAAGGCTAAAACATTTTAGTTTAATAATCTAACTCTTCTAGATTAAAATTAACTCTGCCTGCTTTTTAAAATTTACATAATACTGTTACTTTAACTAACTTTAAAGAAATTAAAAATAACTAGCTTCCGCTTCAGTTATAGTATTAGTTAAGTCAACAAAAAAGGTTTTAGATAATATATAAAACCTTATAATGTAATCTACAACTAAGCAGGACAACCAAGCAGGATACCAAGATAAATATACAACTCTCAACCTTTTGCTCTCTTATATCTCTTAACAAGTCTATGTTTGATCATTATAAAATGAGAAAGATACTATACAGATATAATAAACTTTGTAAATTATAAGAATTATTTAAATATAATAATTATTTCTTAAGTTATAGTATTTTATTATCTTTTTACTAGCATGTATCAAAGTATCTTCACAAATAATAGAGTTAAATAAATCAAATTAATAAGACTATTTATTAAATATCTATATACTCTACATCTACATTCTAAAGTCTATATTTAACAATGTTGTTCAGATATAAGAGAGCAAAAAGTTGAGATTTTGTATGTGTATTTTGGTGTCCTGCTTACTTGGTTGCTCTGCTTGGTTGTGGATTACATTATATAATATTCTGTTTTTTTTACTAGTATTTAATATCTAATTTGAATATCTTATTTTATTGTTAAGACACTGCTATTTTTATAAGAGTTAATTTTGTTGAAGCTCTAGTCATTTGATGGCTACAATTATTAAAATGGTCAGAAATATTATAAGTATTAAACTCTGGAAAAGTAAAAAATTATTATATGAACAAATATGTTATAAATCTTACAGTACAATAGCAGAAGATTGAGAATGATTTAACAAGATCTGATAAAATAAAGTTATAAAATGTTCAATAGAAACTTAAAAAAAAAGTTTACTTTGCAGATTAGTATGGCAATAGACCGCTAGTAGTAGTTACATAGTGAAAAAAAATGTGAAGGTAAACATCTTATATATTCTTTTAGCAATTGTGTACAACTGCAAACAAGATTGCTACTAGTCTTTATAAGAGATTTGTGTACGGAGGTGTGTCTCAGAAGTCTTTACGCACGCTAGTAATTATAGCTGTGTCAAAAGTACAATACCCTTCAACCAAATAACTACGGACCTACAAGTACCTTCTGATTTCAAAACAATTGCCAGCTTGAATCTCATCTCAAATAATTTCCAATGCCTAAAAATAATCAGTTTCATCTAATTGCTATTCACATCCAAGCTCTAGCTTTAGTCTCTTGGGGAATACCAGTTAATGAAGTCTCTACTGCTCTAGGAATTCCTGCTAGAACTCTCCAGGCAATTGAAAAACAAGCCAAAGACTGTAACTATAAGCCTCAAGAGAACCAGCAAATGAATATTTCATTTGTTGAAGATGCAAAGTGATCAGGACACCCTAAAGAGATAGATTCCAGTAAAGAATCTGAGATATTGAATTTGATTTGAAAGGATAGAGCTGGCTAAGAGAAATCCACTGAGATTTTTGCCTTTGAATCTGGTATATCCCACTCAAGTGTTTGGCAAATTCTGCAGTGTTATGGCTTTATTAATGTCAAACCTACTTGGAAACCTGGTTTAACTGAGTCTATAAGAGAGAAAAGGCTGAAATTTGCTACTGCTCACAAGGATTAGACTCTAGATGACTGGAAGAATGTTATCTGGACAGATAAGACTTCAGTTGTCTTGAGGCATTGACAGGAAGCTTTTCATGTATGGAGAACAACTTTAAAGACTTATGATCAAACCTGTATCTGGCAGAGATGGAAGAAGGCTTCAACTTTCATGTTTTGGGGCTGTTTTACCTATGAAAAGAAGGGTTCTTGTCATATTTAGACTGCAGAGACCTCTGCAGAGAAGCAGCAAGCTCAAAAGAAATTGAATAAGCTTAATATTGCAAGAGAAGCTGAGGCAAAAGAGGAATGGGAGCCCAATACTGCTATGCAATAGATGAAGCTTCATGGAATCCCTGGAAAAA